AGGTGGTGTCACAACCCTTACTACTTACTTGTCTATTTCCCTCTCCTCTCTGACTGCTCAGGTCTATCAGGACCAGTGTCTCTATAGACAAGCCCAAGGATCTGCCATTTTGCTCACATTGTTCTTTCTGGATTATTCCCTCTCCTCAGTGCCCTGCCTCATAAAATCCTATTCATTGTGTACATCTTAGTGCTGCTGAATCTACCTCCTCTGTTGAGCCTCCCTTGACTCTCAGTGCAGACCTGGGCCCCGACCCCTCTGCTTCCACATTCTATGTGTGTACTTTCATTTTAACAATTACCGTGTGGTATTCTAATGGTTTGTGTGCCTCTACTAAACTTAGCTCAATGAAGCCAAGAACAATACTTTATCTTTCTTTATATTATCTGGTACTTAATGGGGAGCCTTGCACAAAGCAGGTGCTCAAATTTCTTACATCTTCGCCAGCTACAGTTCTCTATAAAAGAAACACCTTCCCTGTCCAGAAGCAGGAGTCAAAACACATGTTAACAAGTTCCATGCACTTCAGGCACAGGCAAGGCCTCAGACTTCCAATCACAACCAACCTACTTTTATGGGACGTCCAAGTCCTAACTTTGTTTGTGGTTTTCCAGTAGAGATTAAAGAAAGGAGAGAGGCCTCTAAAGAGAGGCCAAGTGACAATAGCAGGAAGTAGCCTGTCAGTAAGCAACTCGAGAGCAGCAAATGTGGCCATCTTCCCGGTGTGGCTGCAATTCTGTTTCCCTGGTGAGGCCCTGCTTTCTACAGCTCTCTCCCACAATTCTAAGCCCCCTGAAGACTTTTTTTTTAATTTAAATTATTTTATTGTTGTTCAATTACAGTTGTCCATATATTATCCCCACTCCTCTCCCAACCCCCTTGAAGACTTTGTCTTAGATTATAAACCAAAACCAAAACCAAAACAAAACACCTTACTTGTTTTGTTTCCTTCTTAGTGAAGAGGGGAGCCAGACCCTGAACCCCTGGTTTCCTGGTGATAAGCCTCATGAAAGGATGACTTCCCTTGCAGGGCTTCCCTTTTATTCCTCCTTTCCTTCATGTCAGCAGCAGTCTTGGCTTGGACTTGATTTTTCAGGAAAGCAAAGTATACAGTCCTCAGTGAATTTCTGCCCCACTATGCATTGGCTAAAACAAACACGAGTGTGGGTCAGAATCACCTGGAGGGCTTTTTCAGCCAGAGACTGTTGAACTCCACTCTCAGAGCTCCTGATTTAATAGGTCTGGCATATGGACCTCAGTTTGCATTTCCAACAAGTTCCTAGGTGATACCCATGAGGCTTCACCTTGCTTTATTTATATAGGTGCCTGTATTTTTTTTTCCCTAAGGAAGACTTTGTGACTTAATGGTTTCCACTTGTGGAACCTGTTGAACTAGATATTTATCATAAGATATTTACTTAGACCAAATAAACACTGTTATAAACTCTAAAAATAAAAGATACTGGCATCCTGACTTCCCTGCAAGGGTGATTCTCTGAAACCCGCTCCCTCATGGATCTGTATCACTGACTCACGTTTAGATCAAAAACACCACAGTGCCCTGTTCTTTCTTGTCTGTCCACCCCATCCTCACTCTCATCAGACTCTCTGTTTACATGAGGTACCATATTTTGTATTAAAACATGAACAGTAGTTGCTAAGGTATCATACTATTACTATAAATCAATTTAAAAAGTAACTACCTAAGGATAGGTCCTAATGTTAAATTACTAAGGTTATATTTGTTGAAAAAATGTTAACAGTGGAGTGAGTCAAAAATAGCAGAAAAATTTTGACACAGTTGCAAGACAAACACAGGTGTCTTTGAAGGAATGAAACTTGTGTTCTTTACTCACCAATGGCTTTTGGTTTTACCATTCCTTGTGCAGTTGTCATTAGACAGAACCCAAGTGATCAGTTTTAATTTTGAAACAGAATTGTCATTGACAAGAAGAGTTCCTGTGTAGGAGGAAAACCCCCTATCATTCTTTTAGTGAGATTTGGAGAAAAGGATGAATTTTCTCCAGTGAATTCCATATTTCATCGGTGTAAAATTTTCATTGTTTTGCCCTGGCTGGTGTGGCTCAGTGGATTGAGTGTGGGCTGTGAACCAAAGGGTTGCCAATTTGATTCCCAGTCAGGGCACATTCCTGGGTTGAGAACCAGGTCCCCAGTGGGGGCCACGTGAGAGGCAACCACACATTGATGTTTCTCTCTATCTCCCTCCTTTCCCCTCTCTTTAAAAATAAATAAATAAACTCTTTCAAAAAATAGTCTTATTAAAAAATTTGCATTGTTTTGCATTGTAATATCACTGCAGTCCAGATCCATCTTACAATGGAAGGCATTTATAATCCTGGTTGGCCAGATGGAGGCTGAGATCCGTTGTCACTGCCTTAACATGCACAAACTTAGTGGTAATTCCTGGTGGGATGACTTGGCAACTGGAATATCCATGTTTCTGTCAACAAATCTTATAAGGACCATCTGGAAAAGAAACGTGCTACCTTTTGTCTGAAAATCTTCCACTGACACCTGCGTGTAAAATCAAGACCAATGCCAGCATCCACACATCTACAGTAGGTGCCAGTGGCTTGAAAGCAAACAGTAGATCACTCAACAGGATGCACCACCAGCACCTGGTAAGTAAGGACACCAATGACCTAGTCGAAAATGAGTCCAAAGAATAGAGATTCTGAGTCTGAAGAAATGATAGCAATTCCTTAATGAATTTACATTGTTTATGTTTTCCTTTTTGTGTTTGCACAAGAACAACACATGATAACATGTCTGAGTCTAGAAGCTCACATGCAGTAAATGTTAAAAAAATTCTAAATGATAAAAAGGATTTACAGGAACTAGTATAAAGGACACATGGACAACTACTAAGGGGGGTGGAAATGGGAGGGAGGTGGGGAGCACTGGGGGGTGGGCTGGGATGGGAGTAAAAAACAGAAAACTGTACTTGAACAATAATTAAATAAAATTAAAAAAAGGATTACAAATAGTTTAACTGGGAGTATCTTTAACAGCAGCTCTCAACCTTTTTGATCTGAGGACTCCTTTCATACTCTTAAAAATTACTGAGGACCATAAGGAACTTTTGTTAATGGGGTACTATCAATATTTATGATATTAGAAATTTAAACAGAGACTCTGAATACTGAATATGCACAAGCACACATTCCACTTGCTGTCAGAGAGAGAACAACACACACAGTCCTGGAAAACCAATCCATGTATGCTGGTGGGAAGATGAGAGCCAAAAGGGCGGACAATGTTGGTGTGAAACAGGAAAAGAGTTTTGACCTGCGGATCCCCAGAAGGGGAAACCTCACCTTGGGAGTCACTGGCATATAAAATAATGGTATGTTTTACACCATTAGAGTTAATGAAATGGGTGTATTTTCACCTAAAATATTGGAAAGGGTAAAAAATCTTGACTACGTGGAAACACTACTGTTGGACAGGAGGAGTAGTATTCTGAGACACTGGCATCCTGAAGGTCTAGGGAATTCTGATCTTAGAAGTTACCAGTGTACATAGTGGAACTGGTTGTCTAGGAGGAGGACTGGGTAGAAATTGGGACAAAGAAAAGAGTGTGGTTAGCACCCAGGGCAGAAAGCTGGATTTCCTGGAGACTAGGAGGGGAGTTGGGGCTTGCTGTTCCTGCCAGTGACGTAGATTTGGAGAGACATGCAAATTGCTGTAGAAGACAGACAATGGGTGCACAGGGCATTGGAGCACCAGCCCCGTCCCCACAGTCAAGCTGGAGACAGGGCAGGCCTGGAGGAGCTGCCGATCTTCAGGAAACCATGCAAACTTGAGCAAGGATATCCTGGTGACAGCCACCATGGTCCGATGACCAGGGCCTTTTCTGCCACTGCCACTGTCCTGACCTGAAATTCTAAAACTGCTTAAGGGAGGACCAGAGCCAAGACCAAAAAGGGAAGGAAGGAGGGGGATAAGGGGGCGGGAAGAGAAAGAGAGAGAGAGGGAGAGAGAAAGAGGCTTTTTCTGCAGGAATTGCTGAGACCAGATTAGCTTTAATGTACAAACTTCAGAATAGTTACAGCTGAAAAGTAAAGTACTTCTTCGCAGATCTAAGATCATCCTGACATTGATTTCTAGCTCTGCCACTTACTTTGTAGAATGACATTGCTCACAGAACCCACTTCATAGAATTCCTAGTCTGAGCACCAAATAAGTGATACATGGCAGCTCTTCAAACAGCACTTGGCACATAGTAAGTGCTATATATGTGATATATGTGTCATCATTTCTTGTACCTTGTATGTGCTGGAGATGTCATACCTGCCACACTACATCCTTTGAGAGGGGTTGGGATGGCTGACTTTTGACCCCATGTCTAATCAAAGACTAAATTAAAGTCTGGCTGGGAGTCTAGGGAACCCAGGGCAGGAACACACTGGAAATTGCATAGTGCTCTGCCCGGGAATGGGCCGAAGAGGCTGTGTGGGAGGGTCTCATGGAGACTGCCACTCCATCCCTTGGTCTTCCTCCCCTAGCTCACACTACCAAGCCAGTTCTTACCTACTTCAGAGGGACCCAGAGCCCTTTTCAGGTGTGTACACGGGTGCCCACGTGCTGAACAGGGGAATCTCTGCAAATTTCCCTAGACTTCCTAGGGGCTCTGGATATTCCATTTTTAAGTTCTTATGTTTAATTTTGGCCTGGGCTGCTCTGGTCCTCTTTGCACAATTGGGGGTGGGGATGGGATGGAAGGCGGCAACTGCGAGTCTGAGCTGGGAGGTGGCAGTGGGCCTGAAGGTGGAGACCTTTACACCTGCAGGGAATAAGGATGCCTGGAAAATTCCGAAGGCGGTTCAGCTCCTCACACCCAGCCCCGGAGCACTTCCAGCCCTGGGATGAGCGTGGCGCGTCGCCACCCACAGGCTCCGGCAGGGGGCGGAACCAGGGGCGGAGTCTGAGAGCCCAGTCCTACAGGCGGAGCTCAGCACAGGGAGGCCGGCTGAAGAGGCGCCACATCCGGCGGCAGTCCCGCTGTGCATAAAGCCACCGCTGTCGCTGCTGTCGCCGTAGTGGGCGTGGAGCAGCAGCTCTGGCCTCTTCTTGGCTGCAGGAGTCGCTGCTCCAATGCCCCAGGGCGGCCATGAGCGCCCCACACTGGTGGGACCAACTGCGGGCTGGCAGCTCGGAGGTGGACTGGTGCGAGGACAACTACACCATCGTGCCTGCGATCGCGGAGTTCTATAACACGGTGCGGGGCGCGGGAGTGGGGGTGGCAGGCAGGCTGGCGGGAGGGGCTGTCCCCAGGCGCCCGGTGCCTGAAACCTGCTTGTGGCTCTCTTCGTGTATCTGGGGCATTCCTTCTCCAAGACCAGAGTCGACCCACGCCCCTTCCCCTACGCGCTCCTTCTAGTTCTCATCTGTCCTTCTCTTCTGTCCCTACCGGCGTCAGCTGGGCTTAGCTTCCTCCTCTCGTCATTTCTGATGACCCTGTTGTGTTGTTTGGTCTCCACCCGTCCTGGAGCCAGTGATCTGTGTCAGCCCATCTCCCAGTTTCGGTCATTTGCGGGCAGTGAACCTGCCGGGGCAACTTCCCGCCCTAGGATCTCTGTGGCATGACGCACTTGGGTCGCATTGTGCAATTTTGCTCTGAATACCTGCTCTAGGAGTCCCAGGAAAGAGAGTGACACTCCGGCACGTCTCAGGAGCAGGGCCGATTCCAACCTTGCTGACTTTCCATATCCCACGAATACAGCAATAATAGGTCGAGTTACTTTTGGCCAGAATCAAGTTACCTTAATTACTACTAGTTCTTATTTCTATGCCTTACTTAATACCTAGTGTAATGCCAGGTCCAAATTCAACTCCCCAAGGCTTGTGCACCCTCCACTTATTAAACCTGGGGAGTGAAAGGGACATTTGGTAGTGATTGTGTGCATGTTTTCTGGACTTGCCTAGGTCTCTCCATATGGCAGCTTCCCCCACTGCAGAATCCTGTGTGCTTGCAGCTGGGAAGGAAATACTTTTTTGCTGTGCCCCTGGCTCAGGGTTCTGGTACCAAATGTAAGACTTTCCTTGGTCATTTGTGTGGCTTATCTTTTCATTGCTCTAACAGGGGAAACAGGAGCTCCTGGTTTAAGGTTCATTGTGAATTTCAGGTAATTCTTTAGGATTTTCACGTCTGATTTGCTGGAGAGAATGTTGGCAACGGTTAGGTGCTTATTGCCTGGAGGGATCTCTGCTGAGCTTGTCCTGGGCCTTCTAGTCCATGATGAAGAAACTGAGCTCTTGAGAAGGGAGCTGTCAAGCTCGCATTTCTGTTATGGTGGAAAAGGGGGGTGGGTGGGAGCAGAGGCGGGGGAGGAATGGTACAGTTCAGAAGTCTGCATTCTGCCTCATCTAATTGCTGAAATCCCTTTGCTGCTGTTTATACAGAACTGCTTTTTATATGACCTGGTTAGTTCCTCAAGGCAACTTGGTCTTCTGCTCTTTGGAGATATAGTTAGTACAGGTAGCCACACCTCACCTGTTGTACCCCCTTTTTCAGTGCATAGTATCAGCTGTAGATGGGTGCTCACAGAGGGATGGGCTAGAGCAGGGCTGGGTGCTTTCAAGAGTGGTAACACAGGCTCTCCATTTGAAAGTGGATTTCAACAGAATTCAAGAAGAAATAAGAAACTGGGGACAGGTTCTCATACTATCGGCAAAGTATCTGTGGAATCTGAGGCCAGCAGAGAGTCAGGTCCGGCTGTTTGGCCAAAAAGTGTATAGCTGCTCTGAGCCTGCCTTGAAAGTCCCAGAGTGCTGAATGAGGGGGAGCACTTATTTTGTCTTTACTTTTAATCTAGTTCCATTGGAGCAGTTATATAGTGAGTGCCAAAATCTTTTTTAGAAATAAACTGTTGATCTTTAGCTGCAGTGTCTGTGGCTGATTAGCCCAGCTGGTCTGCCTGACCAACCTTATTCTTCGGATTGCTTCTAAACCACAAAGCTTGCTGTAGCAAAGCAGAGAGCAGTGTCCAACCCGTGGCTCGTGGGCCTCATGCAGCCCAGGATGGCTATGAATGCGGCCCAACACAAAATTGTAAATTTACTTAAAATCTTTTTTCACTCATCAGTTTTCATTAGTGTTTGTGTATTTAATGTGTGGTCCAAGACAACTCTTATTCTTTCAGTGTGTCCCAGGGATGCAGAAAGGTTGGACTCTCCTGGAAGGTCTCAGAGAACTGGGTGGCCACCAAACTTTGTTGAGTGTAGGTCTAAAGAGGTTAGCAAAACCATAGCCTCTTCTCTGTTTCCATGGCCTAGTTATCTGTGGATGTGTATACGTCACGGGACAAACCTCTTGCTCCTGTATTGAGGAAGACAGTGAAATATTACTTGATGATTAACATGTCATTAAGTCATTATAGTAAAGCAGTAGGTCCAACTATCCATTATATAAGAAATAATAACTATTGCTAATTTGGAGAAGAAGTTTAAGGAATTGAAGATGTAAAATCAGAAGCCTGGGAGAGGGATCCAGAATCTTCTTAATGGATCTTTGGGGTATCACATCACTCCTACAACTTGTTACTGCTGGTTACCATTAATTGTTTGCTGTGTATTGAGGTCTGCCTGGTCATTCTAGGCTGTGGGTGCTATTTACTCTATCCACTTGATAAAGGAGGAAATGGGGACATAGGTAGAGTATGCAACTTGCTGACGTCAAGAAAACGTCAGAACTAGAGTTGGAACTTGGTCCATCTGACTCTACTAAGGTATTATTCATGAAGATACGAGCGCCTTTGTAGCACTGTAGATTTATGTGGCATGGCAGAATACACGTGTTTATTATTCAGTTGTTCTGTAACTTAAACTCTTGCATTGGGAACATTTGCTCTATAGGCTAATCATGATGTTTGATAGGAAAAGAAGTTTGTTTACAGTAGTTTGTTGTTTTTGTGGTTGTTTATTGTAAAAGTAAGAGCATGATCATGGCAAGAAACTCAGTATGCATGTTCTAAAGCACGAAATACCCTCTGTATCTTTTCAGACATTTTCCGGGCATGTAAAAAGCACTTGTATAATTTGTGTGAGCATATAAAATATGTATGTATAGTGTATACACACCACAGTCTGAGTTGTCTTTTTTTTTTAACCCAGTTGAGATACAACTACACAAACCCTTTGGCACCTTGGTTTTTTCACTTAATATGTCTTTTTAAAAAGAATTTTATTTTATTGATTATGCCATTACAGTTGTTCTATTCCCCCCTTCATTCCCCTCCACCCTGCACCCCCCACCCCCACCATTCCCCCCCCAATATGTCTTGTAGATAGTCCTATAGTAGCTCATATAGAATTATCTTTCTCTTTGCAATATCTATACAGTATTCCACGGAATGGATTGGCCATAATTTACTTAACCAGTCAATTCCTTATTGATAGACATTTAGGGCGGTTTCTATTTTATTGTTTTCATGTTTGTTTCTGGACAGTGATGCCATGAATATGCTCTTATGTACATCTGGGTGTGTTTTACAAGGGCTAATCCTCTCAGGGGAATTGCTGTGACAAGGGGAGTATTCATGTTGATAGTTCAAGGCCGATAGTTATTGCTAAATGGCCTACCAGACAGAGTACCCTATTTTATGCTCCCACTGACAGTGTTTGGTTGGGTGTGTGAAGCATTTTGTTTTGGGGCTCTGCAAATCTCTGTTGCCCAAAATCTTATCATCCTTTGCTTTGGCCAATCCCAAATATCTCTTCCAAGAACATAGTCCTTTGCTTGAGCACATTTTGAACTATTTCTTCTATATATAAGTGTTATTGCATTGCATTTCTTTTTATGTTTTAAGTTTTAAGGCCCCAGTCACACTAAAAAGAAAGACTCCAGACCTAGCTGCTTTGGAGAAAAGTGTGGTATTCCTTTTAACCACTGGGGTTAGCCTATGGGGACTCTGTTGCTAAGCAGTGACTCAGGGGGACAGAAGGAAATCAACTGGTGCTGAAAAAAGAAGTCTTGAAGCAAAACATATGCATAAAATCAGCCCATGATCTGTCACTTCCCCCAATCAGTTCTGCCTTCAACCATCAAGATTAGTAAAGTAGAGTTCTCTTTATATGTCCAAGCCCACATCCCATTATCTGTAGGGCATAATTATCCATCTATCCAGCCCTCCCTCGCTCCCTCCATCCATTTACTGGGCAATATCCGGAAGTGAGATCCAGAGTCATCTGGGTGGTGAGGGCCATAACAGGTGTGTACAAGTCATCCCAGTGTTACTAGAACTCTGCGTGGGGTTGGTGCGCTGTGGGAGGTAGGGTGGGGGGATTTTGAAGAGTACTTTCATGTAGAGTGACCAACTTGTCCTGGTTTGTCAAAGACAAAGTTGGACTTCCCTGATTTTAAAACTGAAAGTTCCATGTCTTGGCAAACCAGGACAGCTGGCCATCTCAGCGGCAGTAGGGAAGCAATGGGATGGATAGTTTGGAATGTGCATACAATTAGGATACACAGTTTTCTCAGCCACTGTAATGACCCTTATCTGTTCATGAACTTGTTGTTCAGAAGAACTTACAGCCTATTGCTTTGTCAGTATTTACCCTCTTCTGGGAAAGTGCACATTCACATGCATCAGGATGAGATTGCAGTGTGTTTATGAGATTATCTTGGTACAAATGTTATGTGGGAATTCATAGAATAAGGAGCTTTCTAAGGAAATAATACATTTTAGAATTGTGGTTTCCTTTCAGTGAAAACAATCTGTTCTGTAGGCATTAAATAATACAATTCTCCAAAGTGCAATCAGACAAGAGGCTTTCAACAATACCCCTTGGCTGAACTTCTGAACTTTAGTGACCTGCACCATTTCGAGGGGAAGTTTCATTTCTCACTAGATATGGAGCCACTGAATCTGTCTTTTAGTTACAACTCATTTGCTTTTCTGTATTTCTTTAGGAGTTCCTTCCTCTTTTTGTCTTGGGGAATGTCTCCCTTTAATTTGGTCTTTTCCTTTGCAGAGACTGACTTATTTAAAAGGTCTGGTGAAGACCAGCAGACATTGATAGGTGGACTTTGTGGAAGTAATAATGCAATTTCAAGTTATTTGGAAGCATCTGTTAAAATGGTGCTTCTAATTGACCTCCCTAATACGTGCATTAAAAAAAGTGTTTTGAAGTATCCTAATTTTACTGCAGCTATAATAAATGACTTCATGCTTTCATGAATAGTGTGTAAATACATTTAAAAATGATTCATGTGTACTTTGCTAGTGGCAATATAAATTGACCGAGCCATTTGGGGACAGCTTGGTGAAGTTAGCTGCACTTGGCGGGAGGCTGAGGGGACTCGAGGCAATAAGATATACTGGGGTAAGAAACAAATGAGTTATATTTCCCAACATTGTAGGTGGGGCTGTAAATTGCTTTCCTTCCTTGGGGAATGGCTAAAAAAACCCTTGCCATCTGCAGCACTTACACCAAGTGAGGTTAATCTGAGTGAACTGAGGTAAAAAGGTTTGTAAGAGATACTGTTGAAGGAGAAAAAGTTGCAGAATGATAATGTTACAGTATGTGGCATATATGTATTCATATAAATGCCAAGAAAATGACTGGAAGCCTATGAATCTGAGAACAATGGTTATTTCTAGGGTGGTGGTAGAAGGGAGATTTTAGCTCTGTAATGTATTCTTTTTCCTTTGTTTCTAACAAGGAGAACATATAAATATGAAAGGAGGCAGATCAGGTGTTATCTGTTATAACAATTTCATTTTTTCTCTTCCTTCTCTCCCTTTACCTTTTCTTTCTTCCACTTCTATGTTTAACAAAAGGAGAGCCACTTTTAAGTCATGGAACAGGTCATATGTGCACAGTGTGTGATGCAGTTCAGAAGTTTATGATACCAGTTGAGGAGTTAAACCGAGGAGGTTAGAATGTGGCTGGTGGGTGAGTTGGCGGTGCAGTCAGTGGGGGGCAGTAAAAAGAGCCCAGAGCAGGACTGGATGCTGGCCACAGCTCCCAGGGTGATTGCCTCTTTGACCTTGGCTAGCCTTGGAGCCTTTCTAAGCCCTTAGTTATATCCCTTGTAAAACAAAGGATGGTTAAGATCTCTCATTGTATTTCTTAAAGATCTCTGATTATTTAAATTAGTGCATAAAAAGTTAAAGACTGTGATAATAACAATGAACAATAGCCTACTGCTTATCTGCTTTTTAGTAAATGAGCCCTGGCTGTATTTCCAGGACTGGGGACTATATACGCCTGGGACGTCTGACACAATTCATTCATCCTTTCCTTCAGGGTCACCAGTAGCTCACAGGACTCTGATGTAGGAAAGAGAAAAAGATCCCCATCAGAGTAGACCACCTAGAAAAAGGTACCTCTTCTCCAGGATGAGACAGCCCCACTAGGGATTTTTACCAAAGGCAGCAGTCCTACTCCCATCCTGCCACTAACAAAAGCTCTCTCTCTTTGCTTGTGTTATTTCTCTCCCACCTTATCTTTCTGCCCTTGCCGAAAACGATGCCATTCCATAATAACTCTGTCGAAGGTGCAGAGTGGGCACTGGAAATATCGGGGGAACTCTTTGTAAAGTATAGGTCTTAGGACAGAGGAAGCAAAATCACAGGAACAGGACTGAGCAGAGGAGAGGCTGCACTCAGAGGAAAGTCACAGAGGCGAAAGGAGTGTCCTTGGAGACAGGATCAGGGGTTAGCCTGGGACAAGCTGCCGCTGCCCACTGCTGCCTGGGTTGCACGTCTCGTTGGAACCCCTTAGAATTTTGGAGAAAGCAAGTGAAAGTACACACCTGAGGAAATAGGGGTGCAGGCACTTTGCCTTAGAGTTTTTACCTGTTTTCTAAAGGTGGGACTTTTAAGGGAGGTCTTAACAGAATGCAGTTTCATTGACTTTGCAGGTGTGCCTCTTGGTATGCTGATGCATCAAAATGAGTGTGTAGTGGGGTCTGGGATCATTTTCTGGTCAGTTTCACCTCTGTCTTGGCTTTGTCTGGCTAATTGTTTTTATTGTTGTTGTTATGTATTCCCCTGACTTCACTGTTCTCAGGTCAGGCTGACCCTAATTGGGTCACTGTTAAATCTGTTCCTGACTAGGGTGATTTAAGCCACCTGCTCTTTGGTTGGGGAGGATACACTTAAACCATCTACTGCTAAGTGTCTTTGGTCAGCAAAGGTAGGGTCTTGTGATTCATTAGCTGGCAGCTAGTTGCCCATGCATTTGTTCAACTATTTGTCTCAGTTTCCTCATTCCATTTGTCAAGGAATTTTCCTGGCTTCTTACTCACCTGCCTGAATATGACCCAGCAATGTCAGTCATATACCCCCAAATTGAAAACAAATACTCAAAAACTTGAACATGAATGTTCATAGCAGCACTGTGCACAGCAGTCAGTTACTGCATGAATGGGTAGATAAAGTACGGTATCCATACCACAGAATATTACTCATCTGTAAAGAGGAGGTACTGATACCTGCAATAATGTGGTTGAACCTCAGAAACATTATGCTAAGTAAAGAAGCCAGACATAAAAGGTCATATTGTATGATTCTACTTCTATGAAATATTAAGAATAGGTATATTCATAAAGACAGAAAGCAGATTAGTCCTTGTTTGGGGCTGTGGGGAGGGGGACATGGGAAGTGACTGCTTAATGGGCACAGAGTTTTCTTTTTGGGGTGATGAAAATGTTTTAGAACTAGATAGTGGTGATGGTTGCACATTATGAATGTATTAAATGCCACTGAATTATACAGTTTAAAATGGCTAATTTTATGTTGTGTGAATTTTACCTCAATAAAAAAATTAGGGGGGATAAGAGGGAACTGGCTCTGACCCCCTAAAGAAAGATTAAAGAAATAAATGCTTATTCAAGAAGTTTTAAGTTTTCCTCATTGTATATCTGCAGTTAAGAAAAGTATAAGTGCTGAAACAAGATGTGTGGCCACAGTCATCTGTTTGCAAAGGACATACTTGGAACAGGCTGCTTTGTTTTTTGCCCTTTAACTTATCTTTTCATTTTACATTTCCCCTCCAGATCAGCAACGTCTTGTTTTTCGTCTTACCGCCCATCTGCATGTACCTGTTTCGTCAGTACGCAACGTGCTTCAACAGTGGCATTTACCTCATCTGGACTCTCTTAGTTGTAGTGGGTAAGTGGGTTCATTTGGGACTGTGGACTGAAAGGGAGGAAATGGAATTCTAACACTTCCTGTCTCCTTTGAACATTATGTTTTTAAAAACAAAACAAACTCTCTTTAAGGGACCTTTATGGCTTGATAACAGTATTATCACTTTGTTTTAATTAACCAATTACTTCTAAAAATCAAAACCACTACTGAGACTTGTTTCTAATGGAGTAAAGGTAAAAATAAAAGTAGTTGTCTGATCCTTTATTGCAGGGGTGTCAAACTCATTTTCACTGGGGGCCATGCCAGCCTCGTGGTTGCCTTCAAAGGGCCGAATGTAATTTCAACTACTTAACTGTTAAGGAGTAGTTACATTTATACAGTCCTAAAATTATTTCAGCAGGCATTCAATCTACTGAGTCACACCAGTCAGGGCTAATCTTGGGCATTTTGGTTATGAAGTGTCTTGGTGTGGTCCTCCTTGGGTCCAACTTGCTTGGGACTGTGTGTGCTCCCTGGACTTGTATGTCTATTTCCTTTGTCAAATTAGGGAAGTTTTCTTTCACTCTTTTTTCAACTAAGTTTTTAATTTCTTGCTCTTCCCCTTCTACTTCTGGAACCCTAAGATTTAGATGTTGGTACATTTAAAGTTGTCCCAAAGGTTCCTAAGTCTATACTTATTTTTTGAAATCTTTTTTCTTCCTTCTGTTTTTTTTTGGTGGTTTCTTCCTTAAAAAAATTATTTTATTGATAACGCTATTATAATTGTCCCATTTTTTTCTCCCCTTTATTCCCCTCTGCCCTGCACCTGCCCTCTTATCAGCATTCTCTCCCTGCCCCCAACTTAGTTCATGTCCATGGGTTGTGCATATAAGTTCTTTGGCTTCTCCATTTCCTATACTATTCTTAATATCCCCTTGTCTATTTGGTACCTACCATTTATGCTTCTTATTCACTGTCCCATTTCCCTGACTTTCCCCTCCCCTTGTCCCTGCTGATAACTCTCCATGTGATTTCCATTTCTGTGATTTTGTTCCTGTTCTAGTTGTTTACTTAGTTTGTTTTTGTTTTTGTTTTAAGTCCAGTTGTTGATAGTTTTGAGTTTGTTGTTATTTTCTGTTCATATTTTTGATCATCTTCTTTTTCTTAGATAATTCCTTTAACATTTCATATAATAAGGGCTTGGTGATGATGAACTCCTTTAACTTGACCTTATCTGGGAAGCACTTTATCTGCCCTTCCATTCTAAATAATAACTTTGCTAGATAGAGTAATCTTGGATGTAGGTCCTTGCCTTTCATGACTTCAAATACTTTTTTATAGCCCCTTCTTGCCTGTAAGGTCTCTTTTGAGAAATCAGCTGATTAGTCATATGGGAACTCCTTTGTAGGTAATTGTCTCCTTTTCTCTTGCTACTTTTAAGGTTCTCTCCTTATCTTTCATCTTGGGTAATGTAGTTATGATGTACCTTGGTGTGTGCTTCCTGGGGTCCAGCTTCTTTGCAACTCTCTGAGCTTCCTGGACTTCCTGGAAGTCTATTTCTCTTGTCAGATTAGGGAAGTTCTTCTTCATTATTTTTTCAAGTAAGTTTTCAGTTTCTTGCTCTTCCTGTTGTCCCTTTGGCACCCCTGTGATTCAGATGGTGGAATGTCTTAAGTTTTCCCGGAGGTTCCTAAACCTTTCTTCATTTTTTTGAATTCTTGTTTCTTCATTCTGTTCTGGTTGAATGGTTATTTCTTTCTTTCAGTGCAAATCGTTGATTTAAGTCCCAGTTTCCTTCCTTTCACTGTTGTTTGCCTGTATATTTTTCTTTATTTCACTTTGCATAGCCTCTATTTTTCCTCTATTTTGTGACCATACTGAACCATTTCTGTGAGCATCCTGATTACCAGTGACTTGAACTCTGCATTTGATAGGTCTGCATCAACCTATTACTTCATCACTTAGTTCTCTTTTTGGGGCTTTGATTTGTTCTTTCATTTGGGATATATATATATATATAATTTTATATATATATATATATATATATATATATATATATAATTTTTTTTTTTTTTTGTCTGGGCATGCCTGTCTCATTGTCAGGGGCAAAACCTTAGGCATTTGCCAGGGTGGGGCAACCCAAGTCACTGCACTGTGGTGCTGTGTATGTGGTAGACGGGTCCGAGAGGGAACTATGCCACTTGCTCTGCTCTCAGCTGGCTTTTAGTCACTTCCCCTGCTCCCCACCAGAATTGGGCCCTTCTGGTGCTAATTCCTGGTGGGTGGGCTTGTGTACATTCTAGGACCCTGTGGTTCTCTCCAGTGAACTCTCCTGTGAGGCTGGGAGTTTCTCAGGCTGCCGCCTCAACCCCCACAGATGTTTTCAGTCAGAGGCTCTAAGGCTTTATTTCCCCACTCTGGAACCCTGGGTTGCGCAGTCTTTCTCACTCCCCAGTTGTTCCTCCTAGTTTATCCCTACACAAATGTGGGATTGCCAGCTGCCACCTTGACCACCCAGTCCTGTAGCTGCAGCCTTGCTGTGCATTCTCTCCACTCTGGCTGCTAGTCTCTACCTCTTCTACCAGTCTGGATTAATGCTTCTTTAATTCCTTGGTTTTTGGACTGCCTTAGAGTTTGATTTATTGGCAGTTCTGGTTGTTTTTAAATTTGTTCTTGTCCTTGTTTTTGTTGTGCAAGGAGGCAAAGTGTATCTCCCTATGCCTCCCTCTTGGCCGGAAGTCCTCTTCCTACTGTTCTGATTGAATGCTTTTTCTTTCCTTATGTTCTAAATTGTTGATTTGATTCTGGCTTTCTCCTCTCCATTGTTGGTTTCCTATGGATTTTTATTTATTTCATTTAGTGTAACTTTCATTTCTTCCCTTATGTGTTGCCACACTCAGTGAGTTCTTTGAGCATGCTGATCACCAGTGTTTTGAACTCTGCATCTGATAGGTTGGCTATCTTTTGTTTCATTTAGCTCACTTTCTGGGGTTTGGTTCTGTTCTTTCATTTGGACTATATTTCTTTGTCTCCTTAATTCAGCAGCCTTCCTCTGTTTGTTTCTGTGTGTTAGATAGAGTTGCTTTGACTCCCTGTAAAAGGCACCCATCTAGATGGATGTGGCTTCTTTAAATCCTTGGTTGTCAGACTTCCATACAGCTTTATTTTTCTGATGGTTCTGGTTGTTCTTTGTTTTGAGAAGTAGTTGTAATTCTCTCTGTGATTGCACAAGGGGGTGAAGCATGTCTACCTACACCTCCATCTTGACAGGGAGTCTATAATTTTCATTTTCTTCCACAGGCGGATTGGGAATTCTGAACAGTGAGAGAATGTTGACCTCTATTTACTTCCTGTTCTTATGAAGGCTAGTAGATAAGGACAGAATGTGTTTGGCTGTGGAATCACTAAAGTTCTGATGTGCTGATATGTAGACCTTACTTGAAATTCTCTTTCTAGACTTGAATTCTGGCTCTGACTGGTGTGGCTTAGTGAGTGGGGCATCTTGGAAACCAAAATGTTGCCAGTTCAATTTCTGGTCAGGGCACATGCCTCGGTTGTGGGCCAGTTACCCATTTAGGGGCATGCGAGGGGAAACTAATTGATGTTTCTTTCCTGCTCTCTCTTCCTCCCTTCCCCTCTCTCTGAAAATAAATAAATAAAATCTTAGACTCGAGGCCTGCATGCCTAGGTAGTGTGAGTTTCTTCTTTCAGTTTCTTTTTTCAAATAGAGAGAGCGATCTGGTGATTGTGATAGTGAAAGGGCTGTCCTTACATAGTGTATTGAATTTGTGACTCTGTTCTTCTTCAGTGACTTTTTTATTGGTTGTAATTGATTCTAGGAATCGGATCTGTCTACTTCCATGCGACTCTGAGTTTCCTGGGTCAGATGCTTGATGAACTTGCCATCCTTTGGGTTCTCATGTGTGCTCTGGCCATGTGGTTCCCTAGAAGGTATCTACCAAAAATCTTTCGGAATGATAGGTAAGCTTGACTAAACATTTTTGTATTTATTGCTAGGTGCAATGCCCAGTATAATGTATATATCAAGAAAAATAGCAGACATGAAGTCCATCCTAGTGATAAGCTTATCATACACCTTTTGAATATCCACTGATTGTTTGGAGTCTGACAGTATAAATAAACCTACACATAAAGTGGGGGATTCTAATATACTTGGAAAAGAATTCATACAACATTAGGGACAAAAAGTCAAATGTCTCCCTTATTTGATATGAGAAAAAATGGAAAGATTTTTCGGTGGGGGAGAAATCACTAAATGGTAGCTCAAAGACTTTTGATTTCCTGTTATAACATTTCCTTTACTCCAATCTACTCCAGTATTTTATAAACTTACAGTAGAATCCACTAAGGAATTGGTTTGTTTTATTTTTTAAGATTTTATGTTTATTTTTAGAGAGGGGAGGGGGAAAGAGAGAAACATCAATGTATGGTTGCCTCTTGCATGCCCCCTACTGGGGACCTGGCCTGTAACCCAGGCATGTGCCCTGACGGAGAATCAAACCAGCCACCTTTTAGTTCACAGGCCAGCACTCAATCCACTGAGCCACACCAGCCAGGGCAGGAACTGGTTCTTAGAGCCATAGGTATTGTGGTAGTCAAATTGCAATGTTTTCCTTCTGATGGGAGCTATGTGTGCACACACACACACTAATGCACATATCTCCAAATTGGAAACCCAGAATTTCAGGCAGGGATGCATTTTAATATTCATTGTTTTATGCTTATATGTTTATTTTTCCATTAAATAATTTTTGAACACTTCCTATTTAGTATGCATTTCTCTAGGCTTTTAGACACTGGGATAAACACATGCTTTTAAACACATGGCAATAAAATAAACAATAGAATCTCTGTCCTAGCTTATACTGAGGTTGGGAGACTGTGAGTCAATAGACAAACAAATAATATTCAGGAATAACAAGTGCTATGATGAAAAATGAAGCTGGTTAAGAGATTGTAGTAACGTGGATGATGATTTAGAGTTGGGTCAGGGAATGCCTTCCTAAGGAGCTGTATAAGGTTGTTAATATCTAAATGAACAGAAGAGTCAGCCTCATAAAAATAAGAAATGTTCCCAGAACCTATTACTCACATGTTTGTAGGACACTGTGACTTGTCAAGATACATGTGGATAAATAGTTTGAAGATATGGATTCAGTTAAGCAAGCCAATGCAGGGACAGGAGCTGTGTGTCTACTAAAGACGCAGTCTGTTGTTTTGGACTGAGGTGGAGGGCGGCCATGGAATGCGTTGGCTGCAGAGCACATTTTAGAGCCATGTGTGTCATGCTCTAATTTTAGGATGAATGTGAGAACCTCTTTTTGAGTACCTGTCTTTGTACCTGCGCAGAAACGCCTGGGAGGATGAGGGCAGCAACCACTTCCATTCTTAGGAACCGGGGTGGAGAGAGAGCTTTCATTTCTACCTTTAATCTGTACTGTTTCCATTTTTTTAGAGCATATGTTAATATTTAATATGAAAGAGCATATGTTAATATTTAATATGAAAGTGTATTTTTAAATGAGGTAGGGAGAAAAAAAATACTTTACATGGATTAGATGTAGAATCTTCATCCCAGGTAGCAGGACTTGAATTAAACAGTGTTATCTCTCAGTACCATCAAGCAGAAGGAAGTATCCTCAAGAAGGTTACTATTTAAAAATGAGAGGAAGGCTCTGGCCAGGTAGATCAATTGGAGAAAGCATCTTCCTGAAATGCCAAGGTAGTGAGTTTGGTCCCTGGTCAGGGCACAGACAGGAACCAACCAATGAATGTATGAATAAGTGGAACAACAAATAGGTGTTTCTTTCTCTCTCTCTCCCCCTTCCTCTTTCTCTAAGAATCAATAAATACAAATTTTTAAAAATGAGAGAGGGAGGGAGGGAGAGGAAGAACCAGCTGTTTACAAGGAGAAGTAAAAGACTTCCACCAAGATGGAGGTGTAGGTGGAAGCACTGCATCTTCTCGCACAACCAAGTTTAAAAACAACAAAGTTTTAGCAACAAAAACCCAGCCAAACCACAGGAAATTGAACTATACTGAAGTCTGACAACAAGGAACCCTTCAGCCAAACTGGTAAGAGGGGCAGAGCCAGCAGCAGAGCGGGGTTGGGCAGGAAAGATCCACCAGACCCACCCAGGCGTGCGACCCAGGTGTGCCAGCAGCCATGGGCAGATCCCAGGTATGGAGAAGTGAGCGGACCCACTGAGGGCGCAAGGCGTGGACCCACTGAGGGCTGACAGTGTTCACACATTCACGCGCAGATAAACTGGTGAAGGAGCGAGCAGTGAGAGGGACTGCGCAGGCCCCAGCGGCAGGATGTGGCAGAGGGGACCGCCATTGTTCCCTCTCTGACCCCGCCCCCACATACAGCATCACAAACTAGTGACCTGGGTGGCCCTGCCCTGGTGAACACTTAAAGCTCTGCTCCTCATATGTAACGGGCACGAACAGATCAAAACATGGCTCAAGAACAACTCAGAGCCCCAGAGCCCATAAATCTAAGCAATGAAGAAATAGCCAAACTTTCAGATGCACAGTTCAAAACACTGGTGATCAGGGTACTCACATAATTGGTTGATTTTAGTCACAAATTAGAGGAACATATGAAGGCTAAACTAATTGAAATGAAGAGAAATACACAGGAAACCAATAGTGATGGAAAGGAAACTGGGACTCAGATCAAAGGAGTGGACCAGAAAAAGGAAAAAAATGACCAAATAGAAAAGGATGAAGAAACAAGAATTCAAAAAAATGAAGAGAGGCTTAGGAACCTTTAGGTCATCTTTAAACGTTCCAACATCCGAATTATAGGGGTACCAGAAGGGGAAGAGGAACAGCCATAAGTGGAAAACTTATTTGAACAAATAATAAAAGAGAACTTCCCCAATCTGGCAAAGGCAATAGACTTCCAGGAAATCCAGGAAGCTCAGAGAATCCCAAACAAGTTGGACCCAAGAAAAACACACCAAGGCACATCATAGTTACATTAGCCAAGATTAAAATGAAGGAGAGAATACTAGAAGCAGCAAGAGATAAGGGGACAGTCACCTACAAAGGAGTTCCCATCAGACTGTCAGCAGATTTCTCAAAAGGGACCTTACAGGCAAGAAGGGACTGGAAAGAGGTATTCCAAGTCATGAAATCCAAAGACCTACATCCAAGATTGCTCCATCCACCAAAGTTTTCCTTTAGAATGGAAGGGCAGATAAAGTGCTTCTCAGATAAGATCAAATTCAAGGAGTTCATCATCACCAAGCCCTTATTATATGAAATGTTAAAGGGACTTACCTAAGAAAAAGAAGATAAAAAAGATTGACAATGAAAGGACAGCAAACTCACAGTTATTAAGAACCACACCTAAAACAAAAGCATGCTAAGAGGACAGCTAGATCAGGAGCAGAACCATAGAAATGAAGATCACATGGAGGGTTAGCAACAGGGGAGTGGGAGGAGGAGAAGGGGGGAGAAGGTACAGAAAATAAGTAGCATAGACAGTACATAGAAAATAGATAGGGGGAGGGCAAGAATAGTATGGGAAATATAGAATCTAAAGAACTTGAGACATGTGGTCATAAACTAAAGGGGGGGAATGGTGAGGGAGGGGGTGTGCAGGGTGGAGGGGAATGACAGGGGGAAATAGAACAACTGTAATAGCATAATCAATAAAATATATTAAAAAAAAACAAGGAGAAGTAAAAAGAAGGTGCTTTCGGTCTGAGATAAACACCGTCTCCGTCTTGCTGAGGCCTTCTGCTCAGTGCAGGAGGTGCACTTTAAAATGCAGCAGGTTGTTTAGGCAGTCTACGGTTTCTGGTCTTGTCTTGTTTCTTTGTTCAGCTTCAAGAGAATGACTGAGGATGATCAGAAAGCCTTGTGAAGTGGGTGAAAGGTTTTCTTAGGCCCCGCTGAGGAAGAAATGCTAATCAGCCACAAAGTTAGGCAGTATAGAGTTCTATTGGAGTTTGTGCACCTGGACGAGGTTCTTTGGTCCACAGAGTGGGGCTGGGGAAGTCACACTCAAGCAGGTTTTATTCTGGTTGGCTGTCTTCATGGGAGCTGGGGATTAGTCCCCAGTGAACAAAGTGGCAATATATCATTGGTGGCTTAGGTTGCTATTCGGATATATGTTTTGGCAAAGCCTGCCCTTTCAGCTCTCAGACGTGTTTTCTGGTTGTAGTCTAGAGCCTCATTTTGATTGTGCACCATTTTGATTGTAGTCCAGCCTGTTTTATCCTACCCCACCCATCCTGACAGTGGGGAAGAGGGTGAGGTTTAGGATGGAGGTGGATGGCACCAGGCAGGGTCATGAGGTGGCTTTACAGGCAGGGACTTCTTTGATGCTGCCTGGTAAAGATGGTTCTTCTTATTTTCTGAGAAGGTGCCCACCAGTCACCCCCAGCCCTTCCCTTAGCCTGGAGGTGTGTGTTAGGTTGAAAGCAGAGGAACCACTTTGTTCTTAGGTCTTATCTTTCAAGTCCTGGGATCTGAGCGAGAAGTTTATGAAATGGGAAAAAGGGTTTTGTTTATTTGTTTGTGGCACTCTGGAGGCCTGGGTTGCAATTCCAAGTGACATTTTAATGTATTCATAATAGAGAGCCTTTTTCTTTTCTGTTTCTTGAAGGTGGCAGTGTGGGAATGTTGCTATGAGCAGGAGAGGAGAAAGTGGAGCAGTGGCTTGTAGTAATTCAAGCTTACCAACTTTAATAATGAAAACCTACTATCAGGCGGGGAGGTCTGTGACCCCTTGGGACTCCTCCGTCACCAGCACCATTTCTCTGCAGATGTGACGCCTCTCCTCAGTTTGAGCTGAGTCCTTCAGAGACTCTGATCACCTTATATGTATCTGTCCCTGGCTTTAAAGAAAACCTGGGTTTGAATCCTAGCTTCCCGGCTCACAAACTATATAACTTGTCTTGATTCTTTAACTTTCTCTTTCTTCATCTGTAAAACTAGCTAAGTAATAAGGACTTTGTGAGAGGACTCTGCAGAGCAGTTCTTACAGCACTAAGAACAAGGTGAGTGCTCAGTCAAAATCAGCTTTCATGACTACCCATGGCACGTAGTGGGGGGCCCTGCCTAGCATCTCAGAGGCATGCATACAAATGGAAGGAGGGGATGGGCAGTGACGATTTTAATGAGCGAAGAAAGAAAAGGTGCATGTTACAGACAAACTGGCTCTCTCTAAATAAGAATACTGGTTCTATTTGTCTGTTTTCACTTTCTCAGTGTTGGCGAGAACAAGAAGACCAAACCCTTCTGCATGGGCTGTGCCGCTCATGACAGCTCATGACAGGCGGGAGCTCTACAGTGGGAGTGGCAGGCCAGGCCAAAGATTTCAGGAAAAAACCAGGATATCTATAGACTAGGTCACAGGTGGCAAACACAAGGCCCACGGGCTGCATCTGGCCCTCTACCTTGTTTTACTCTGCCTGGCACCTTGTTCTACCTGGTGGCAGCACTGAGCTTTTGCTTAACTCTTAAGAAGTAGCTACATTTATACAGACCTAACATTACATTCGGCCCTTTGAAGGCAACCGTGAAGCTGATGTGGCTGCTGGTGAAAATGAGTTTGACACCCCTGGACTAGGGGTTATGTGGTTTAGCTGTCTGAATTTATCAGATAGTTAAAATTTATCTCTCCTTTAAAATTTGTTTGTGATCTAGACTTTGCTGGACTACTTCTAAAAGCGTATCAAGAGAAGTTCCAGTGTGAGGTTTCTGGAGAAGAGGCAGTATGGAGTCTAAGTGACTTTGGCGCAGACAAATATGAATTTCAGTACCAATCTACTTTTCTTTTTTTTAAAGCTCTGATACCTCATTTTGCTCATCTGTCAAGTGGAGATAGTAAAAGTATCTACTTCATGGAGTCAGAAATACATGATGTCATCTCGTAAAGTGCACAGAATAGTGTCTCCTCCAGATGAAGGATGCACCAAGCGCTAGCAGTTACGATGTCTAACATAAACAAGAGTTCTGAGGATACGGATGTCTAGAATAGCCAGCAAGAATGGTTACTATGTAAATAGGAGTAATTGGTGGGTTTTAAAAGAGAAGAACCCTCTTTCACCTTGCCTAGAATGTTCTAAGAATCGTCAGGACACACACTCTGCTATTGATGGTTAATAATAATTTTTAGACATTTTTGTTTTGAGAAAAAAGCCAAAACCAAAAAAGTATTACAGGCTAATTGTATCCATTTCTTAAAGAATTCATCCTGCTGTGATGTTTGAAGATTTTGTCTCTACAAAATGTAGGATCAGGCCTCAGTTATGCTCCAGTTCACTGTTTGCCTCCTGAGAGCCAACCTGCTGGCCAGGGCCTGCTCTCACACCGGCGTGGTGACTCGGGGCCACCAGCCTAGGCTCTCTGGTCCTTGTCAGCTCACCTTACTTGTGAAACAACAGGGGTGTGCCTTCCAGGGCCACATGCTGTAGTCTTTTGACTATTAGGGGCTTGTTCTGAATCGGTTACGTTTTAACCCTATTAGGGCAATTTAAAGCAGTGGATCTTAACCTGGGACACTTCTGTCTCCTAAGGGACATCCAGGAAGTTTACGGTGGTCACAGTGATGGGAGGTTTATATTACCCATAAATTGCATTTGACTTCAGAAGAGTAAAAGGGACGTTACCAAATATTTGATTTAAAAAAAGGGCACAGGATCTGACAGGGTTGAAAACCACTGCTTTGGAGGGTGACTAATAATAGTAACAGCTGTGTTATAATAACATGCTGCAGATGGTATCGGGCTGCTGCATCTCGGTCAGGGGAATGCAGAAAGCAGGGGCGCTACGAGCTCCCTGGCTTTGTGTTCCACTGTGAACCCACATGGGCTGGAAAGTTGAACACGGGGCCAGAGCCTGCAGTAGGGGGTTGCCTGTCGTCATTGTTCAGAAAACAGCCCCTGGGCCCCTGGCTCTTGGATGTCTCTAGCTCTCTTGTACCCAGGGCCTCTGGTGGTGCTGGGGTCAGCCGGGCCGGCCCTGTGATCTCTGCTGGCTTCTGCTGATTGCAAAATCGAACACGTACAGGACGTCCTCTTTGGCTAAGCTGTCTTTCCAGAGCACATTCCTACACACCCATGGGACTGATGTGGGAGGTGTCTGCCCACGTTCTCCTTAAAGAAAGCATGTTTTGTCAAGCTCGCTGCCTTTGAACTCTTTGGCAATACTATATAGAGTCTTTGGTGATTGCAGTTCCAGCTCCATCAGATTTTCCCTGAGAGTGTACTATTATTAACAATAATAATAGTTTAAATAGCATTTATTCTCAAATGATGGTAATAATAGTAATAGTGGATTTTATTAGCACACACCATGTACCAGGCACTGTATGAAGTGCTCTAATTCTTGCAAGAACACCATGAGGCAGGTGTTATATTCTCCATGTGGAAACCTGAAGCTTGGGGAGAGTTCAGTGACTTGCCAGAGAACCCACAGCTACTAGATGGGGGCAGGTGATACAGGCAAGTGATACAATTTAGAAGTTTTTTTAATTATGTGTTTATCCAATCTACAAAGGCCAAAAGCCTTGGCATGTGTCACAGGACCTTAAACCCAGTGAGTGTTGTTCTGGGCCTCCCAGGGTGACGTGCATGTTGGGGGTAGGCACGCAGGCTGCCTTCTACCTAGTAGCCGAAGGATGCTGGCCAAGGCCAGCAGGAAAACATGATTTTCCTGGGGTTTGCTGCCTGGGTCCTTTCCCATTTGTATTTTTTTCCTCTGGTCCAAGTTCAGGGCTACAATTCCTGCTCATTCCACTCAGAAAGTTGGCAGCTCGATCAATGATTTCCTGTGCCTTGATGATAAATGATTTTCCTCTAAGAGGTACATTTGTGTTTTGAAGGTTTCAATGCACTTTGCTTTTTTTATAATGGAATGTCATTCAAATTAGTTTCCTAACTGTGACCTGTCCCAGGGCTCTTGGCCAAAGTAAATTGTGCTCGTAACAGAAACTCCGGGAAAATCACGAGTTCTTATGTTTCAGTCATAGATGAGGCCTTAGAGATCATCTAGTTCAGCCTTTCAGCTTATGAGTAAGGAAACGGAGTCCCAGGGAGAGGAGATGGAGCGTGTGCAGGATCACGTCGCCGTTTCTGGCTCTTCCTGCTGAAAGCACCCCCCCTGAAGAGTGGAGGGACAGTATCAGTTACTTTCCAAGATTTGCCAGGCCAGAAACTTGTCAACACAGAATTGCAATGCACACTAGCCTGCAGATTGTCAGTAAATATAGACACTGTTAGAATGTGTTAAGACTGACTTCTGCATGCTAGTAACGGGGCATTTTTTTGAAACTATGAAGCTTGTAGAACATGGGCTGATAAACTGTTCTGTGGTCCAAACCGGCCCACTGCCTGTCCTTGCACATCAAGTGTTGACGGTGCGAAGCCATGCCCATTCCCTTGCTCACTGCCTGCAGTGGCAGAGTTAAGTAACTGTGGCAGAGACCTGTGACCTGCAAGCCCCAACATTTTAACTATCTGACCTCTTACAGAAGATGTTTGCCAAATCCTGCTGTAAAACAGGTGAAAAGGATGCAGAGAAGTCACACTCAGAAAACAGGTAGTAAAACAGGTGAAAAGGATACAGAGAAGTCACACTCAGAGAACAGGTATCCATATCTCACCCTTAGGGACTTAAGTTGATTCTAATTTTATTGTTCTCGTGGCTAAATACTTAGAAAATGTCAGATTATTTCCTAAAGACAAATTCCCAGAAGTGGGATTATTGGGCCAGTGAGTGTGAGTGGTTTTAGACTTTCACTCACACTCATTGTGTGCATTTAGTGTGCAATTTCTTTTCCGCTTCCATTCCCGCCAGCAGGGCCTGCAGCTTGTCCACGTTCCACAGGGGAGGCCTCCTTCGCTAATGGATTTGGCTTGCTTTCACCACTGCAGGGGCAGGTTCAAGGCTGTGGTCTGCGCCCTCTCTGCAGTTACAACGTGTCTGGCGTTTGTCAAGCCCGCCATCAACAACATCTCTCTGATGACACTGGGGGTTCCTTGCACTGTGCTGCTCATCGCAGAGCTAAAGAGGTGGGTGTGGTTCTTCCTGCCTGCCCATCTGGGCGTCCCTGGGACAGGCGCAGCAGCTTCGGGTGCCTTTACTACCCCCGAGTGTGGAGGAGGCGTTTGACTCTTCATGAAGAGATAGTTCCTGACTGTTGCCTTGAAAGCAGGTTTGATCTCATTTTCAGAAAGAGGGGAACAGTTGTCTCATGGGTGCAATACCTCGTGAGGGTCCAAAGCTAGCTTAGCAGGAACAGGTCAAGGACCTGGCATGGCCCTAGACCAAGCAGCTTAGAGTGAAACCTGTAGAAAAAAGAATAGATTCGTTCACAGGTCAAGAATAAGGAGAAAAGTCCTAAAGAGGCTGTTGCCACAGAAGGATAAAGGAATGAGCTTCTATGTACAAGGTAACATCGACTTCTGGTGTAATACTGTTGACTTTGCTGCTTTCTCTGAGACCTAGTTTCTTATTTCCAACCTGTCAGGTAAAGCCTTTGATATTCGTGTAAGCATTTTGCTTTGGAAAGTTGTATACTCAGAATTCAGAGTTGATATCCAGAAACATTTTAGCTTAGCTCTAAGATTTTACTCATTTATTTCTAGAGATGGGGAAGGGAGGGAGAAACAGAGGGAGAGAAACATCAATGTGTGGTTGCCTCTCATGTGCCCCCTGCTGGGGACCTGGCCTGCAACCCAGGCATGTGCCCTGACTAGGAATTGAACTGGTGACCCTTTGGTTCACAGGCCAGCACTCAATCCACTGAGCTACACTAGCAAGGGCTCACTTAGCTCTTGTGTATACGTGACTATATTCTTTTAGCCCCAACTAATAGATATCTGACTATGGCCCTTATTTGAATACTCTTTGAAAATGCTTGTGTGTGTGTGCCCAGTTTTGTGTATGTGTGCATGATTCTCTCATTGTTATGGGTATGGGGTGTCTTAGCTGAAGTCTTGTATGTAGCCACCTTTGTGAAAGTTGCTCTGTGTGATATGTTAAGCCAGCTTTCTCTCAGTCTTCATTTTGACAGGAGACATTTCTTTCCATTGCTCTGCCTCTGGGGACTGCTTTGGTTGTCAGCAGTATCAGGCAGGGTTGGAGGTGGTGGAAGAGGCATTAAAGCATGCTGGCTGGCTGCGGAAGGGTGCTGTCAGGTCTCGTCTTGTTGGCTTCTTGGAGAAGCCTTCAAGGACTGGGGCATTAGAAGTCCCCTTTCAGAACCCTAACAGATCTTGAAGCTCCTTGGAAAACAGACCATTAAATAGCTGATAAAGACATCTGAAAAGGATTTGTAAGAGTTGCTCCAGTCGTGCTGGCTTCTATTAGGCCTGAAGCGAGTAGGCTGTTCTGGACCTAGTTATGTTTCTTGAGAATTCACTGCAGTCTAATTTCATTTTAACTTGAGTCTAATAATGTTTTATCCTATAATTTTTTAAAAAGATTTTATTTCTTTATCTTTAGAGGGGAAGGGAAGGCGAGAGGGAGAGAAATATCAATGTATGGTTGCCTCTCGTGAGTCCCCTAATGGGAACTGGCCTGCAACCCAGGCATGTGCCCTGACTGGGAACCGAACCATGATTGCTTGGTTCCCAGGCCCGCGCTCAATTTATCCTATAATTTTATTAAAGAAATTTTATTAAGGAAATGTAAAATATTTTTAATTCGTTATACATAAACAAGAGCAAATGGAGAAAGACAGGTGGTTATGGCACTTATAGTTTAAATAAATTATTTATTTAAAGTTTAAGTAAATTCTGTTTCACAATTGTGATCTTTCAGCAGGGAGACATATTTTCCTTTAATAGTCGAATCTTTGTAGGTACTTATAAAGGACCTAATTTCTGTTCCATGCTTAAAATCTTTGTCCCTGAAGAGCAGTCCCTGCGCCAGGTCATTGGCCGTCACTGTGGCATTAGCCAATGCAGCATCATGGGCAGAATACCTTCTTCCATCCAGGGTCAGTCTTTCTACCTGTTGATGATTCCCTCCATTCTCCTGTATCTTCCTTGCTTCTGTAAATTGTCTACTGTGTCATCCCTCCCTCTCGGAAGGGTCCTTCCCATTAGCCTTTAGAAAGGTTGGACCCTTTCCTGTCTTCTGTAACCCTCCACCCGGGCTCAGTCCATGTCCGTCTCCAGCCACCACCTTTTCTGTCTCTTGTATGTCACAGCCAAGCTTCTTTTAAAGCTGTTTCCATCTCTTTTACTCTTAACCTAATCCCGTCTGGCTTGTGCCCCCACTTCAGTACCCATGCCCTCTTGGTTGTACGTTCAATGACAATTTTTCAGCCTCCTGGGTCTTCTGTGTTGTTCTCCTAACTATTTGCACAATTCACCCCTGCCCCCCACCCTTCAGATGTTCTTTCCTGTGGCTGCCAGGACACCACACCCTCCTGGGCTCTAACTCTGCCAGCTTCATTTCAGTCTCTTGTGTAAGCTCCTTCTCCACACACCCGTGCATGTACGGATCTCTTTAGGTGCAAGCTCACCTCTGCTTTGCCCCCTCTATAGTTGCCAAATATCTCATCTACTCCCATGGCTTTAATTACCAAGTGACCCCCAGATTTATGTCTTCAACCTGGTCCTTCCCTCTGCCTCCACCATTATGCACTTAGCTGCCGACCTGGCCTCTCCAAGTCCTTGTGCCACAGGTATCTCAATTCACCTGGTCAGAAACCAGATTCCTGTTCTACCTTTTCCTCTTCTGGTTCTCTTAATATTTTCAGACATAGTAAATTGAGCTCCATTTACCTAGTTAATGCTAAACTAGCCAGAAGCTAGTGGTTCAAGCTGGAAGCCTGGCTTGCTGTTCCTTCCCTGAATAACCCCCTGGCTCACAGTAATTTTTCTATTAGTTGACATTGCAGTTTCAATAAAGTTCAAACTCCTCAACATGGACCCTGCCTGCTGATCTCCCCCACACAAAGCTCCCCCTTATATTCTCTCCTCCACCCACCCTGACCTCCCGTGGCCTCAAGGTGGTCTTGCTCCTCCAGGCCCAGGCCCGAGGTTGTGCTGTCCCTTCTTTCTAACTCTTCCGCTTCATTCACTTCTGCTCATCCTTTGGGTTGGGGCTCAGCTGTGTGTATGCTGTCATAGCAACCCACACTTCTTCTTTATGGCACTCATCCTGGTTGTAATTTAAATAGTATTTGTGCTGTTTTTTCGTTCCATATCTGACGTGTCTGCTCCACACAGACTCCACGGGGACAGGGACGGAGGCCCCGTGTTCAGTGCTGAGCCCGTTCCCACCCCAGCTGCCGCAGGAAAGAGAAAGTGGCTGTTGGCCGTTCTGAGAAAATCCCCAGCCCCCAGGAGGCCCCTTCGCTCTTTACATTTTCTTCCAGGTTCTTCTCTGCTTCTCATCAGCCGCGAGGTGTCATATGTCAGCGACATGTTTCTCACTGATCTTCCTTCTGCTCAGGGAAGCAGGCCTGGGACCGTTGTTCTGCTTTCTCTTTCTCATTAGCCTCGTTCCTAGAGCTCGTTTGTAGTCTTCTCATATTTTTATTGACCTTTCTGAGCCTTCTCTCAGACCACGAGGGAATAAAATTTATTATGACTTGGGGTCATGATCTGGCATTTACTGAATTGTGTGGTGTTATTACATTTCCAAGTGACTCAGCTACATCAAAAATATTTTAAGGTAGACTTTTAAAAAATATTTATTTTTAGAGAAAGAGGGAAAGGGAGGGAGAAAGAGAGGGAGAGAAGAAAATCAATGTGTGGTTGCCTGTCCTGTGCCCCTCACTGGAGACCTGGCTCACAACCCAGCCATGTGCCCTGACTAGGAACCAAACTGGTGACCCTTTGGTTCACAGGCCTGCATTCAAACCACTGAGCCACACCAGCTGGGGCTAAAATAGACTTCTTTTTTTCTGATTATAGGAATGAGTTGATTATTAAGGAAAACTTTAAGAATGCAACAGAGGGTCAAGAAGAGAAGGAATGGTAGAGATACTCTCAGAGTTTTTTATCCCAACTTAGGGTCTTGCTTTTGATCTGCGTTTCTACTTAACCTCACATTGACATTTTGATGCAAGCCCCAGTAAGTGGGAATAAAACCCAACTGAGGTCAAGTTTGGGTGAGCCCCACCTGCAAATAAGCCTGGTCAGCGGCACATAGCAAGGTCTGCCCATTTGCAAACAGAGGAAGGGTCAGCCCCAGGCTGCCCTGCGATCCTGACTGCAGTGCTTTCCCTCCCCATCACAGGTGTCCGTCCAGCCCAGCCCCCATGGGACTGGTCACCCCGTGTGACACTCCACCCCTTTCTTGTCATCCAAAACACAACTGCATCTCCAGCTCTCTGTATGGGTGTGTTCCTTAAGCCAAACTTTCTGGGTTTATTGAAACCAAGTGCACATAGATCCTCTTGTTTCAGACTAATTGCCAATGTATTTGTTGATATTTGCATCTTTTCATTTCATCTTTTAAAATGGCAAGGCTAGAGGCCTGTTTATTTTGCTTTTTAGATTACAAAATAAATTGTGTATACATTTGACCTGAGCTTCTGAAAGCATGGAATGACTTTTTTCTTAGAGGACTGGGACAATAGGTTTTGGACACGGGGAAGGTTTGGAGTTTATTATGAACATGTTCAATTTAGATCTATATTAGACATCAGGTGGACATGTCAAGAAGGTAGTTGGGTGTACAAGTCTGGAGTCAGGGAGAGGCCTGGGAGAGAGGTATGGTTTTGTGAGTCACCTGTGTACATGTGGGATTTGCATCCATGAGCTGGTGGAGTGACGGTTTGCTGGGTGGGAGTTCCAGTGCTGAGGGGCTGGGGAGATATGAGGAACCAGACAAGCAGCCTGTGAAGCAGGCGGAAACCAGGGCTCATGGCGAGTTTCTCTCTGGATCCTGTGCAGGTGTGACAACGTGCGTGTCATTAAGCTGGGTCTCTTCTCGGGCCTCTGGTGGACCCTTGCCCTCTTCTGCTGGATCAGTGACCGAGCCTTCTGTGAGCTGCTGTCGTCCTTCCACTTTCCCTACCTGCACTGCGTGTGGTAAGCCCCTGCTAGTGGGGGGAGTTGGCTGCAGGACAGGGGTCTGCACTTTCCTCAGGCTCTGCTCTCCCTTCAGAGTGCACAGGTGTGCCCAGCGGACAGAGCAGAGCCCCAGAAACCCTCTCTCCTCACAGAGACTGTCAGACTTTTCCCAAGCAACAGAAACTACTGTCAGGAGCAGAATGGGCTCCAGGGAGCTGGCTCAGCCAGGACAAAAAGAGTGAATTGTTTATGCTTCAAGTCCGGTCTCTGACCTCTAGCTCTATTATTAAAGCATAATGGAGCTTGAAAACCGAATCTGTCACTTGAGCTCCGGCTAGATCTCTAGGGTGAGGGGGGTGGGGGAGTCTTGAACAGATGTGGGGACAAGGACGGGGACGTCCAACCAGGAACCGTGACTAGGTAAATATGACCTCTTTGAAGATATAGTACATTTTTGTCAACCCAAGTTCCCTTTTGGGTTTGAATGACCAGGTGAAAGCATGGGCCTCCCAGGTCGCCTAGGGACAGCCTCACCCATTCACCTCACAGGTGGAGACCGAGGCCCAGAGAAGTAAAGTGAATTGTTCACGACACCAGCTGGTTTTATAAAACCAGCCTAGGAGTTCGATAAGAGGGAACTGGAACATCTACACCAGGAATGCTTAGGATACACTGTTAGGTAAAACAGAAGCAGGTTATAAAGTATGGAGTCCTACATATTCAGAAAGCTGAGGGGGAAATTGAGTGGCTTCCTTCCTTGGAATCAATTCAGCTCAAAACTCAAGAATCAACTTTCCCTGCTGTCCTCCAGGACTACCAATTGCAAACAATAACAAGGACCAAGAGAAATATGTTTGGAATGTCCCTTGCAAACTGAGAGCATCCAGGAAGGAATTCTATTAGTAAAGAATTGGAAAAACTTTGTCAGATGTAGATCCAGGTGAAGCTTGACTTGTATATAAGATGCCTAAAACTGTATGGCTTGAAGGAATCTGCTTACATTTCCTTGAACACGTGAACTTGTATATACCCACCATGAGACCCAATCTGCTCTCAGTTTAAGACTTGGGGACTTCCATTATTGTATGTTAATTAGAATTGAAAAAAAAACCCAAATTTTTTAAAGGCTTGGGAACTTCCAGAACTCTTTACAAAAGGCAGAATAAATAAAAACAGCTCAAATTGCAATTCCAGCCTTCGAGTCCATTGCCTGGTATTTCTTAGGTTCAACCTTAACTCACACTAGCGAATTTATACACACTTTATATATTTGTTGAACTATAATTTACAAATAATAATATGCACAGATTTAAGTGTAAATGTTGATGAACTTTGATATTTGATTTTTAAAATTACTTTGTTGTTGTTTAATTACAGTTGTCTGCATTTCCTCCCCACCACTCCCCCCACCCCCTCCAAACCCGCCTCCCTCCCTTGCTTCCACCCGCCCCCTTGGTTTTGTCCATGTGTCCTTTACAGTAGTTCCTGAAAACCCTTCTCTCCACTGCCCCCTCCCCACTCCCCTCTGGCTATTGTTAGATTGTTCTTGATTTCAATGTCTCTGGTTATATCTTGATTGCATTTTTCTTTTGTTGATTATTGAACTTTGATATTTGTATCCACCTGTGTTAAATGGCTTCATTCAAGATACAGTACATTTTTGTCAACCTGAGTTCCCTCGTCACACCTGATTTAAGTAAAATTCAAAGATTAGACTGTAATAACTTTGGTTTAAACAATTTGTTTCTAAGTTATTGTACTTTCTGCTTTGATTTTCAAAATCGAACCATTGTTTTGTCCCAGTTATAGAATGGCATATTTGTTTTTTAAATAATAAGTTTAAACAACCCAGAAATACAGGGAGAGAGAAGCTTGCTTAATTCCATATACCAAAGAGGGATAACAGTTGTTCACAGCCTGAGGTATATCCTTCCTGATTTTTACATATGTGTGTATATATATTTTTCTCTAATTCTGCTTTTTAAAAAGAAAAATAGCATTCTATTCCTGATGCACGCTGGTCCTTTTTCCTTTTTTAAACCAAACACTAGGTCATGGACAACTTTCCTTACCAATGCCTGTATATTATCTTCATTTTTGTGTCCCATTAATACTTCATAGCCTGGGTGCTTTATAATTCCATCCTCTTACCTCCTATTTTAAATCCTCGGGCCTCAGTCTTGGTTGAATCCCAAAGATGGTTGCCCTTTGGTCCTGTTATGAAGCCGGAATAATTTAGAACATTCTAAAACAGGCCCTGTTTGCTCCAGATGTTCATTCTCCTCTACTTCGGGGGTCCTCGGCCGCCTTCACCCCGCCCTCCCGGGAAGAGTCCCTCGGAGCCGGAGAGGTGGGTGGGGTCAGAGGGGGGACCTGCGCGCTCTCACCTCCGCTCTCTTCGCAGGCACATCCTCATCTGCCTGGCCGCCTACCTGGGCTGCGTGTGCTTCGCTTACTTTGATGCTGCTTCCGAGATCCCCGAGCAAGGTCCGGTCATCAGGTTCTGGCCCAGCGAGAAGTGGGCCTTCATCGGCGTCCCCTATGTATCCCTGCTCTGCGCCACCAAGAAATCCGCAGTCAAGATCACGTGACGGAAAGGCGGCTTCTCTGCTCAGGGGTTCTGGTCCCCGGGCTTCCTGCCGGCAGAGACAGCCCTGGGTTCTCAGAGTTGGGGGTGGGTCTTTTTTTTTTTTTTTTTTTTTTTTTAAATTTAGTTCCCTTGGCTTGTACTAGCTGTCTATTACCTGGACTCCACTGTCCCCGAGGTTGGCAAGTAGACGGCTGAGGGCATTGGGTGCATCTCGGCAACGTGACTTTTAGAGGCAGTGGCTTGTTGGCTGTGTCCTTTGTGGCGATGGGGGACTCGGTGCTGCGTAGACCCTCGCTTCCTGGGGAGTTTGCCAGCTCCAGATCCCACCGCCCCTGCGGACAACAGTCCTGTGACAGATGACACCCTCCGACTGTCTGATGGGAGATGCCGGATTTTCATTTGGGAAACCCATCTGAAAACAAAAACCAGACAGATGAAACGCGCACAAGACTCGTGGCTACGGAAGCTGGTTATGCACGTGCAGCTCCCAATCACCCAGGTCTGACGCGGCTTTTGTAACCTTTCACTTCTACCTCTGCTGAGAGATGGAGATTCGACCTCGGAGGAGGGTCAAGCTAGCGAGAAAACCCCTCTACGCCAAAAAACTACTCTCTACTTTAAGCCACTCTAGAAGATGACAAAGTTTTTAAATGTTGACCTTGAATGCCCTCCACCCCCACCCAGTAGCCTCAGATGCACAGGGAATAGCTGCGGTCCCTACACAGACGCCCCTTCTCTCCTCCCCTTGACCTCTGTAACAGGCCAGAGGGCTCGTGGCAGTCGTGATGTCGGAGGGGTCCTGGCTCAAAATCTGGGACAAACACGGAGTTTTGGAACCTGTGCTCATTGGAACCCTCTTGTATGCTGTCTGGAAATTATGCTCAAGAATCTCCCCCATTCCTTCCCTAATTTTTGCTGTGGGAATTACACTCCATCCTCTCACAGCGTGAGGTGCTTCCTGCAGTTTCTCGGACCATTTGGTCGCTCTTCTTAAGTGCTGGCAGTAACGACACACTGGCTGCTGGGACCTTGGCGGGTGCAGCAGGGCGCGTCTGTTGCCTTCGGAGTTTTTCTCACCTACGTTGACACTGGCTGCAGTTCAATCTGCTCTTCACTGGGATGGAGGGAAGGTTTGAGGTGGGAATGCAGGACCTCAGGGATACTCGCGGTAACTCAGGCACTTCCAGCTTTGCAATGTCCCGCCGGGAGAAAGGGCAGGCCAGACGGGAGAAAGGGCAGGCCAGACGTCCTTCTGGTGCGGACGGGAAGCACGCCACTCTCGTCTCTGAGAGGGGGGCAGCAGCGGTTTTCGGCATCTTCAGGAACTCTTACTCTGGCCAGAATTTGCACAGGATCTGAGGTGAAAAGCCCATTAAAGAACTGGTTTCGGAGTTTCAGAGTGAATGACTTTATCCTATTTCTGTGGTTTTCAAATTATTTTAGCAGCAGAAACCTGTTTGCAGTAAGACATCTTTATGGAACCCTAATGTATGAAATAGGTTGTATTTTATTAGCTTAAATTTCTTTTAAGGTTAAACTTATAGCATTTCCTTAATTATGTATCAGGCAGTGACATGCAAGTGAACAATTTGGTGTTTTTCCAGGTAGAAACATTCGGTATTGAATGAGTGTGCCTGTTGCTATATTATAGTGTAAAAATATTTTTTAAATGATATTTGAATGAAATGTTTCAGGAACCTCTAATATACCTCCTCGAGACCTAGGTGGTTCATGAAACAGAAATTGAAAACTGCTGAGTCCTTTGGGTTTCAGGTCTAGAATTTTTACAAGGGGAACATCAGATCGTCCTCTCTTCAGGCTGATTTGGCAGGTATGGATTCTGGTTTCATTCATTCTGCAGAATAAAATGCTCTCGATTAGGGGTTTGATGTATGTTAAGTCCAGCGGCCTTCGTGTGGAAGTGTAGATAAGGAGAAGTGGAGAGGAGAGATGTTATCTGTGTATTTCGGGTTTACCTTCTGTCTCAAGGGTTCTCAGCTAGGGCAGCATTGTCCTCACGGTCTAGGATGGCCCATTTCCCACGGTCAGATGCAGGGCTGGTTCCCTGGGGAACACTACCTTCCATCCCAAGTCTTTGGCCTTCTGGAAGTTTCTGAGTGTCCTTCGGAAATAGGGATAAAATGTGACTGCTGGAAGTAAGGAAGTGTGTGCCCTGTCTCTCTGGGCTATTCCCATCTCTACCACGAATGGCTGAGTTCACGTGTCAGAAGGGATGCTTCTGACGTGAAGAACACAGTGTCCTACTAGAAACTGGTTTTAATGAGATGAGGCCTGAGAAAGGAGTGTGGAATGGGGTATGATGCGAAGGACAAATCATAATTCTTTTGAACAGCAATCACTATAGCTTGCCAGTGTGGGATGGTGGTAAGTCACGAGAGCAGAGTACACTGATCTTGTTTTAAGTTAGGTTTATGGCATCATTCATATTTATAGTTTTATATATATTTATAATCTTTTATAGCACTACATGCTGTTTTGAAGAAAATTGGGATACTATAAAAAAGCTGAAGTAATCTATTTCTATAGCTCAAACACAGTCATTGGTAATATTTTGGTATATTTCCTTCTTGTCTTTTTTTTCCTGTTACAGTTGTAAATGTCTTTTAGAGCTGACAGTTTACCCTGTAGTTTGGAAGGCAAATGCCAGCTGCGTATTTCTCACGAGGAGCAGGGTTTGAAGTCCACTAGAGTTACCGACACACTTGAGAACTCATCACTGGATTCGGACTGACTACTGAGTCTCCCCTGGCCATCTAGCCTGCTGTGAACGGGCGCTCAGAAATAGTGGGCTGAATTCTACTTTGTGATATGCTCCTGCGCTTAGACTGACAAAGAATAGGAAATATTTGTTAAATGTATACCTCTACAGGGTTTGGTGTCCTCTGATTTAAAATAAGTGAAGGGCCCATTTCATTAATGTGCAATCAAGAATCCCGCCCCCACCTCCCAACCGTTGAGGCAGGGAAGAGGAGATTTGACCTTGGCAGTTAGGTCACCACCGTCGCTCAGCATGGCTGTCGGATTTTTGTTCTGGTTAGAATTTGCCCAAAATCAATATCCAGAAGGAACTGGAATTAGTATAGTGAAAAACAATGTTACCAAGGGATGAAGTCAATGATTCTTGTTTAATACTATTCAATTGATTGTTGATTTTCAAAAAAAGAAATCTTTGCTCCTCTTTATGAGTGTGGTATCATTATAAAACGTACTTCAGTGAACATATTTAAGATAATTGGGGTGCAGATATCTGAATCTCTTGGTAACAAGCTCCATCTGGGGGAACTCTGAGCCTGTCCCTCTGAAGAGCACCTAAAACATTACTACAAATCACAGAGGTTCTGCGGGGACCAAGTCTGATGGTGTCAGACATGCTTTGTGAAAACACCATCCCCTGTTCTGTGCATTGGGTTTCTTGGGTGTGTAAAAGCCTCTCCCACCGCTCAGCGTGCTTGTATGAGCCAGCACTGGCTTGGAGGCTCCGGGACTGGGATTGCACCCTCCCTGGCCCTTCCGCAATATTAGGCACCGCAGGGAAGGGCCGAAGCTTGCCGAGCCAGAGCCCTCTCGGAGCTCCTGAAGGGACTGGGAACCTTTTACAGCCATCTCCTTGCTGCCAGCCCAGCTGGACGAAGGGAAGCCTCGGGCCAGGTTGCCATCCTCTATGGATTTTATAGATTTTATAGACATTATTCTTCTACAGACTTTGTTTTTAACGTCCCCTACTCTAAGGACTAATTGTTTGAATTATATCTTTCTCTATACAATAAACCAGATTTAAGAGTATTTTATAGCCACCAATATACAATGATAGCAAATAGAGTATTTTCTGATTGATGCCTTCTTCTGCACGCCACGCGGGGGGTGATGTGTCACGGTGGTGTGCCTGCCGGCTGTGGCCGCATTTGACCTCCGTTGTTTTGGGAGTAATTTAAGGCCTTTTGAAATGGAGCTTTTGCACTTTATGCTCTTTCTGTGAACTATGACAGCTGTGTTTGATATTAAAGCCATAAAGGCATTTTCTGTGAATAAATACGTGTATGTTTGTGTTTATTTACACAATGATTTTTGAAATATCTGCGTAAAAAGGGCATTAAATGGGTCTCAGAGCAAAGTACATTTACCCAAACTCATTGATTAGTGAATCATTATTAAACATAGTTAAAATTAGTATAGTTGTTAGTTTCTGCTCAGAGCTATGTAATAAATACATCTGAACATTTCCAGTATGAGGTACCTAAAAGCAGATTAGTTTTATTAGAAGTTCTGTAATTAAGCTCCAGCCAGGTAACTCAGTCGGCTAGAGCATCGATACACAAAGGCTGCAGGTTCGATCCCCAGTTAGAGCACATACAAGAGTCAACCAATGAATGCATAAATAAGTGGAACAACAAATGGATGTTTCTCTGTCTTTCTCCCTTCCTCTCTCTCTACAATCAATCAATAAATGAACATTTTTTAAAAGATTCTGTATTTATATGGATATAAAATCTCAAATATAGAAAATAATTCATGCTGGATTTTAGGCAGTCTCTGGAAGGAGGCTCATAAGACATTTCGAAAGAGTAAGAGACTTTAGCAGGAAAATTCTGTACCTATTTTTTACAATTTCTGACAGTTTTTAAAAATTAAATCTTTCAAAGGCCATCATATTTTAGAGTAATAGGACCATTAGAGAAGGACACCAAACTATCATCATCTGTGTAACCACTGGTTTTTAAGACCTTTTTTCCTGGCAGAGTGAGGGGACAAGGCCTCGCCTCAGAGCCTTTTGACAGTCTGGTGGAGGCAGTGGACGTTCACCCTAGGAAAATGCCTGTCCTTACTGTCTTCTGGGCATTCAGATGACCCTAGAAGCCACCCTGGTTTAACACAAAACAAAACAAAAACCCTCCTGCGTGACAGTACACTACGCTGGGGTTCGAATCCCTGGTGGTGTTGAAACGTGTCCACACAGCTCGGCTTTCCCTCCGACCCGCGCTCCCCAGACCCCTTCTCTTGGGAAGACTCGACATTAGGAGGGGCCAGAACAGGGCAAACAGGGGCCGGGAACTGTGTTCCTGGAAAACTGGGAACAGTCACTCTCCTCACAGCCTGTTCCATGGTTTAGTCTCAGACACACAGTAAGATGGTACCTGGGCCTGGAATACCATTTTGTGTACTTTTGCATTGTTTAAATTTTCCATAATAAAAAAAGTTTTAAGTGTGGAATTTGGATTTTCATTCTTCATTCTCTCGGGGCCAGGGCTCAGCCTCCGCCGTCTGAAAGGGGCTGGCAGCCCCTCCCTCCAGGTGAACGAGTTACCTTCGTCTTCAGTGGGCACTTCAGTCTCTGACCACCTCCAGGCCTGGTGACACCCAGTTTCCCTGGGAAGTCTCTTTGGGTATAAACTTACAGAAAAGGAAATATCAACCTCATGTGAGGTGTTTTTTCTTTTTTAAAATTAATGATTTCTCATTAAAACAAGACTTCTGCTTTTACAATTGAGATCAGAAAACATAAACCTATTTTTAAAATGTAACGAATAGCAATGAAGTAGGTCGAATTTATTTTTGTACTTGGACTGGTGATGGGAAAGTGGCTGAAAGTAAGGCCAGGAGCGTGAAATGATAGAAAATGCACGATGGCATTAATGACGTCAGCTAGAGAGAGATGCACGTGAATAAAGAAAGCTGGAGCGGCTGCTCGGGACAGACTGGAGAGACTCCTGGAGTAATATTGCCATCTTATGGCCTTTATGGGTATTGCTACCAGCGACACGTGAAGCCCATCCCAATTGCTACAACTGTGCCTTATCCCAGAACTCAAATACAATTGTTTTAAAACTCCCACAAGTTATGCAACCTCTTTCTGGTCCCAAGTGTGTTCCCTTGGATTTTTTAAAAGCATCTCTATGCCTTTTTCTTCCTCTCTGTTTCTCCACCAACTCATTCTTCACCCTTCAGGTTTTTGATCTTAATAGATTTTTAAAAATCCACCAAATGCCATAAAACAAGTGTTTTCCTGCATATAAAACCATATAGATGTGCTCTAGAGGAGTTTTTTCTTAATCCACTGGAGTTAAATTTAACTTTTGGGATTAATAGTTTCATTTACACAAGTCAAATGCCAGTACAACCCCCAGGGTCTTTAAGGCTGAATACGGCTCGAATCAAGGCTTAGCAAATGCCTGCTTTGTGTTCCCTGCAGTACTAGCTGCAGAGGGCTCTGTGCTGCGCGTGGAGAGGGCGGAGACCACTAGCTCTGCTGAAATCCTTGCACAAGAATTAACAGTGCTGGGGAGGCAGGCATGGGGGAGTGGGAGGTTTGACCAGGGAGGGGTTAGGATTTGAGAATTCTGGGCTTTAACCGATGGCCCATGAAGAACATTTAATATGTAGTTTCAGCTGGCGAAAGAATTGGTATTCTCCCCCAGAGTATTATTATTTTTAAAAAACAAACCTTATTTGGGAGCCCATCACATTAGTTACCTTTCACATAAATTGTCCTATTTACTCTTCGCAACTACTTTGTGAGGCAATGATTATTGTGATTTTTGTTTTGAAGGATAGAACTGAGGCTGACCCCAGATATTAAGTGGAGAATCAGAATTTGAGCCTATTGCTTGATTTTTTATTAATATCGTTATTTATTGTTGTTTTGTTTTGTTTTGAGAGAGAGTCAATTTGTCATCCCAGACCAGGAAAATAAGCCGCAACCTTGGCTTACTGAAACGACACTTTAATCACCTGAGCACCCAGCCAGGGCTGAACCCAGTACTTTCAACTCTTAAATTTAGTTCTACTTTCACAAAAGATTTAATCTTATTTTTAAAAAGATTTTGTTTATTTTTTAGAGAGGGGAAAGGAAAAAAGGAGAGAGGGAGAGAAACATCAATGTGTGGTTGCCTCTCAAGCGCCCCCTACTGGGGACCTGGCCTGCAACCCAGGCATATGCCCTAGACCTGGAATCAAAGTGGGGACTCTGATTCGCAGGCTGACACAACCGCTGAGCCACACCAGCCAGGGCAGATTTAATCTTATTTGTAAAATGGCAAAGGAGGTAAAGGTTTTCATATAGGTGGACACCAAACTGGGATGATCATGTTCAAAACGATCACATTAATACAAATGATTTAGGTGTAGAGTAGCAGTTGGTATATAGTAAATGCTCAATACGTGGCAGGCAATAATCAAGATAACCTACCACCCGACAGTCCCGGATGACAGTGTGTGGCTGCGCTGAGGAACCACACCCCATTCCCCGTCCCCTCCCATGTGATGGCAAATGTGTACATGGGGCTCTTCCTTCTTCTGGCTCCACAGTCAAGGCTATCTCTTTTTCTCTGGGGACAGACCTGCAGTCCAGCTCCTTCTGGGCCATCTCTGGATGTACAGTAGGCACCTCACGTTTGCCTTTACTTACATTTTTCTTAAAGTTGTGCACCTTCTCAGTAAGTAGGGCCGCTTTCAGGTGCCAGAGGAAATCCTCCCTGTCCTTGGTTGCCTGGATCTCACCTAATAGTAGGTCCTCTTAATTGGACTTCCCAACATCACAGGGCCATCAATTTCTCTCCATTCTATGAGGGCCCCACCGTCGCTTGTCACTCCCGCCTCTGCACTGCAGCGAGCAGGGCTCCCTAACTAGCAGGAGTCCCCTTCCAGGCCTTGTTCTTAAATTTTTAAGGTGTACCCCTAAAGTGTAAACATTTCAGTCCCCTCACAACCAGGCTCTGCCTCTGTGTGGTTCTGCCCCAAGTTTTAAATCCCTGCATTGAGGGTCTCCATCCCCGACTCAGAAGGGCCACCAGCAGCTGCCCAGAAATGATGGAAGCAATGCCGGGAGCAGAGCCAGAGGTGGAGGTGTTGGTGCGCATGCGTGAGCGTGTGTGAGTATGTGGTGTGTGTGTGTGAGAGAGAGAACATGCTCTCTTCAGTGTACCCTCACCCTGATCTATTTGCAGATTTCTTTTCCTCAAGAAAGAGTCTTCTTCGCCCTCACTTTGGGTGGGGGTTGGGGGAAGGTCCTTGTTTTGTGAGCACCTCTGTCCTTCGCTCTCAGGAATGTCTTCGCTGAGAGCAGGTTTCTCAGCCTTGGCACTATTAATATTCCAGGCTGGAGGAGTCTGTGTTGTGGGAGACTGTCCTGTAGACTGCAGGACATTCAGCAGGATTCCTGGCCCCAATACATCTGCCCAGGTGCAACAACCCAAAATGTCTGCACGCATTTTCAAATGTGCCCTGAGAGGCACGACAGCCCCTGGTCAAGAGCCACTGATGTAGAGGTATTTCTCTGGCCAGGAGGCCTGAACAATTCCGGCTGTCCTTTTCCATGGCGTTTTGTGAGTTAGGTCTTGAGTCTTTTCCAGACACGTTGAATCGTAGTCCATGTAACCATTTCCCAGGAATTTCCACCCAAGGAGATTGGCAGTTTCCACAGCTTCCACTAGTTCAGTGAAAGCTCCCCACTAGGGCAATGGGTCTCAGGAGGCTGGACTCAGGGTGGGGGGAGCCTGGGGCCACCTCCGGAGAGGCCCAGGCTTCCTTTCCTCCAGTGGCCACAGGCTGCAGCCAGCTGAGCTGCTGCTGGCCTGGTCCAAGGCACCACGCTCGGCTCCCACAGCTTTACCAGGTAAAGGTAAAGGAGCTTCGTCCTCCACCTTATGGTAAAGCCAAAGGGACTGGAGAGACCTTCTAGGCCAACATTGCCCCTTTCCCTTTAAAAGGTGCTTAAGATGAGAACTCCGAGGCCCAGAGCCCTGAGGCACCCCTCCCCAGGTTAGGTAGCTTTGCTGAGTGGGAAGCAGGACCCACATCCACTTTCTCTGACTTGAGCCCAGGTTTTTTCCTGCTATTTGGGGAAATTCTCAAAGGGCTCCCTGTTAAATGCAATTGTCTGGGAAGACATACAGCTATGGGAGTGATTGCACAACAAATTAGCCCCGAAGTAAGTCGTGTATGACAAACACACACATTAACTATTTCTCGGTTTCTGTGGGTCAGGAATTTAGGGGCGGCTTGGCTGGGTGGTTCTGGTTTAGGGTCTCTCGTGAG